ACTGCTGTTCCGCAGAAATAAAACGGCTGCCATGTGCGCCGTGAAGCGATCGCCTAACAAAGTGCTCAGTGAGAAATCGAAGCAACCATCAACTGCCCAGTGAGTCCTCTTGATCAAACGCAGAGCTTCCTTTGAAAGCAGCCTGGCGAACAGGTCGACCCAATCCTCAAGCTAAGGGCAATGCCAATTCATATCCCATGTAATCGAATCAAACACACTCACCCCCTGCTAGCCCCAAGCAGCCAGGACTGCATTCGATGGCATATTTCGCTCGGCCTTATTTTCCCAAAGCCTTTTCAGGAGACTGCGGCTAGCGCCTGAGGCTTGCGAGGCTTGTGCTTCTTCTTGCCCACCTGAAGCTGCTTGCGGTCCAGCATGCAAAGCTTGATTTTGGGGAGTTCCATCAAAGTGGAAGCTTGCACCCCTTGTTCCTCGACCAGAATCACCAATAATGGGTTGTCATGAGCCTTTGGATTGCTCCGCACTGGCATTCTCCGGCTTCAACTGATGGTTGTTGTTGTTGTTGCTGCTGCTGGCCTTCTGTGTTCCAGCCCAAGAATGGTTGATGACATGCTGTGTATATCTTTGGTACTTTGTGTGTTTGAGTTTTCGCGTAGTTGTTTGGGTGTTTTCAGTTTGATCGACTTTGTTTGGCTACGTATGTCACAGTTGGGGGTAGGGATGCGAGAACAAGAAGTTACAACAGAAAGGGCGCAATGGTAGATTCAAAACAAAGACACGTATACGTACATGTGCATATACATATATATATATATATATGTATGTATGACGTGTGAATGTTTGTAGGTCAAGACTGTGATTTCTTTGCAAACAAAATAATAATGAATAATAAGGCTAGCAATTGTTTCACCTGTGTGCCTAAAATACCAGTAGGATGACATGCCGTGTGTAGCTTTGCCTCTCGGAGATCCTACGGGGGTGGCAGCCCCCCCTTAAAAACACTTGCCAGAGACAACTGGTGGTGCTGAAGACCAAAAGCTGCAAAAGCCAAGCTGGAGAGGAATTGGGAAAGCAAAGGCTGCGAAAAGCCGAAGCCAAAAAAACGCACTGCCAGAGAGGAACTGGGAATGCAGAGGACGCAAAAAGCCAAAAAGCCAGCAAACGCCGCATAAACTCACGAAAAAGCCACAAAAGCCAAAAACCGGAAAAGCCACCCACCCTGAAAAACAAAAACATAACCCAAAAAAAGATATGTGCGTCTCCGTAGTTTACATCCACATGTTATGCACGGCGCGCATTGTTGAGTTGGCTTGTTCATGTTTACCCGGATGTCAGTCAGCCTGGGATGCTGCCCCATAAAACCCCAACCAGCCCAGCTGTTCTCACACTCTTCATCCGCCTCGTGATTTCAGTTGCACCCTGTGGCAAAGCATTACAATCCATTATCTACTCTACGTGGGATGACAATTTGTGTGATTGCACCCTTTGGACACCATTTATTTACATGGGGATTTATATCTTTGAAGGTATCCCCTCAACCAAAAAGAAAAACAATGCTCAGCCACACGCAACCTGTGTCAAGGGAACTCTACTGTGGGCCCCAGCATCGTAGTCCATGTCCAGCTCATCCCTTTTCTGCGGTCTGGGCTGCAGCCTCTCTTGAGCCTAAGCCATACGACCAACTGAAGAACTACGGCCACGGCCAAGAGGTTGGGCTAAAGGCCTGGTAAGCCAAACTGGTTTGCGCCACGATTGTTCCAGGAGCTTAAACATCAACTTATTTTGGCATCCCTTCGAAGAAGGAGCGGCCAAGCTCGTCCCCTTGCCGTGATCCTCGCCCCTGTCAATGCACGCAACAAAAACATGACAAGAATCAAGAGGGTCGCCCTTGGCCTTCACTTACCCAGGTTGTTTATTGTTTTTTTTTGTTTTTTTTTTTTTTTTTTTTTTTTTTTTTTTTTTTTTTTTTTTTTTTTTTTTTTTTTTAAATGTGTTAAAAAAACGGCTTTGAAAGCAGCGCCCGCCTCTTGAAAAGCCTGGCGCTGCTCTTCAGGTGGGCTGCTGTCCCACGCATCCACCTCTATGACACATGGCACACTCTGTGTGTCACAGGGCAAAATTACGAGGCGTTGTCTTGCATTTGTTGCTCATAGAAACACAAAAGGTGTTGCCTTGTGCCAGGGGGTCCACCGACCCCTGGGTTGTTGAATGAAGGCAACCGCTCAAAATTGGACCCGTCTCGAACGCTGTGAGTGGCTTGGGAAGATTGTGCCTGCCTCAGCTTGTCCGTACTGCCGGGAGTAGTCAGTAGTCGTGGCGACCTTCCCCCACCCAAGCCTTTGTCCCACCCCGGGCCCCGCTCCTGCTTGCTTCCAATCGAATTGGCTTCCACTCAGGCCCCCGCCCGCTCAGCGACATCATGCTGTTCTTCCTTTCTCATCTGCCTTCCAAGCGCCAGGTCACGTGCAGGTGCGTAGGTCAGGCGCCTTGGGGGTGTCGGCTCTTCGGCCTCTCCTGGCCAAGCGCCGCATACCCGCGGCGTGGGCGAATGATACAGCCCTTGCCCTGAAAAGGGACCCCTCGACCAAATTTGTGGGAAATTCAGCCAAAGTCCCCCCCCCCCTCCCCCCCCTCCCCCCCCTCCCTCCCCCCCCCCTCCCCCCCCTCCCTCCCCCTCCCCCCGCCCCACCTGCCGGGTCTCCTTTGCGCCGCTTCCTCAGCGCCTCGAAGGCACGGAGCTTGTGGAGCCGCGACCGCGGCCTGCATGGAGCGAGCTGTGGGATTTGTAGACGCGGTGAACCAAATCCTTAAATTTTTCCTGTTGTCAATCACGCATTTGCTACGCAATATCCAGCAATTGGCAAAAGCCTGACCCCCTTCCCTCCCCCCCTTTAACCAAACAACGACGTATAAAACTATATGCCTTCCCCATCGAGTTTATCAGGCAAAAAACAGCCCCCAAAGCTCCCAAAGCCTTGAAAACATCGCTGCTGACTCAAACATATGGCCTCAATGACTGATTCTGGGCTCCCTGTTGCTTGCATCGAAGGGCGACCCTTTGTTCATCTGTGCTCAGTTGCTATGTCGCCGCAGCTTGTTGTGCAAATGAGAGCGTGCAGAGCACAAATTCCCTGTGAGAAACGGGACATAATAGGTAGCTCGAACAGCTCAAAACCTCTATTCAGTGAAGGAGCTGTATAATCCAGAGAACATTGATTTACCGGACTCTTCTGGAAACATGGGAGACAATGACAACAGCTTGAGCCAGTAAGTGCCCAATACACGAGGGGTTGGAGAAGTTGCGCAAAGTGGCTCACCGCAAAGCCTCCAAGAGACAGCAAGCCGAAGCAGGCTCCAGTTCTTGGCCACGGGAAGTGGGGAAGCGCCTTGTGTCTAGCAACCGTTCCAGCGCCAAAAACAAAAGGCAGCTTCCAAAACCTTCCGTAGCTTCTTGTAGGCTCTTTCGTGGGCTCTTCCGTAGCTCCCAGAAATGAAGCAACCCCTTTAGTTCAAGCTCTCGCCTGGCCTCTTGCTCGCTTGGCTGCGAGGCTCGCAAGGCTCACAAGGCTCACAAGGTTCCTGGCATCAACCAGGGAAACCAAGGATAGGAATCCTGGGGGCAAGCATTCAAACATCGCTTTGGATCCAAGCAGTGGTTGCACCATGAGCCCTTTCCTAAGCAACCCGATCACTCTGCCTGCGTCTTCTTCACTGAGCTCACGGGCCTCTTGCACGCGGAGGCATTCAGATCCAGTTCAGTCTGCGAACTCCATGGCCGAACCCTGACTCATTGGAGGGGGAGCTTAGAAACAAGTGCCGCAGAGGGGGAAACTGCCGCAAAGCCAAGGAGCTGGTGGCTAGCTAAATGCAGCTCCTTCATACTGATCTCCTCCACATGTGTGCCTCAAGGGAGTTGGCCAGGAATTTTAAGACAGACAAAAAATGGTTGAACGGCCCAGGTCAATCAGAACCAAATACTGGAATAGATTTGTTCACGAACGATATTTCCGCATGTACTGTTGCTGGCCCATTGTGCCCTGCAGGAAAAGCCGAAGCAATAATTTTGTCCTTCCAGGGTTTCCATGTCTGGAGGCCTGAACCTGAAGCATGTCATGCTCTGACTGCCTCCGACTTTGGCCGAGGCACCATTGTGGTGCACTCCGTTCACCTTGCCATTCACCTTGCCATTCACCATGCCATTTATCTTGCCGTTTGTCAAGCCGTTCATCTTGCCATGCTCCAAGCCGTTCACCTTGCCATTCACCAAGACATTTATCTTGCCGTTCGCCAAGCCGTTCATCTTGCCATGCTCCAAGCCATTCACCTTGCCATTCACCAAGCCATTTGTTACATCCAGCTTGCCATTGATATGGGGCTGGGCCTGGCAAACGGGTAGGCTGCCGCACGGAATCATGGAACCGATCGCCCCGCCTGCCCATTCAGCATGGCCTGCTTGCGGCCATTGACCTCTGAAGCTGAAGGTGCTTACTTTGGCATCCATCTGTCACGCAATTTGCACTTGCCATCTTTTGCCGACTTTTTCCAGCCTCCTCTGTGGCGGTGGCCTCCTTGACCTGCGGGGGGGTGACCTCAGCGACGGACACGAAGAGTTCTCTGTGGACGGCGACGCTTAGCTCAAGGCCGTCTGGTAGAAGAGCAGGTATGCCTGGTGCAAGCCATGCCGCGGGGCTTCTAAACTGGTTGGCCGTTTCCAAGAACTGGCGGGGCATCTAGTGAATCTGCTGCATCAAGTTGATGAGACCAATTGTTTCAGCACTAAATGCAAGGCCAGCCCCTGAAGGTTGCCTGCACCCCAAAGCAACGCCCCAACGCCCGAACCTAAAGACCTATGCCGCCTGAAGCACTTGCCGTTTTCGTCACCACGTGTTACGAATTAGTCATGATGAGGCTCAGGCTTAAAAAAACAATCGCAGCTCGGCTCGTTGAAACGCAGAGACGGGGGCTTAATGCTTTGTGCGATACTTCTTGAGAGCTTCTCAGACATGCACTAGCAAATAGCCTGCAGAGGAGAACGTGATTGACCCAATCCCTAAACTTAAACCCTAAACCTAGACCCCAAACCTGCCCTGAAACCTACATCTAAGCCCCAAACCTGCACCCTAAAACTGAACCCCGAAGCTAAACCCTCGCCCTAACCCCTAAACCTAAACCCTAAAGCCTAAGTGAACTGCAGGACAAGGGTGGAATAGGGGGTGACGGCAACCTTCGGGGGCTGTGGGAAAATATTGGGCTGTGGCAAACTTTGTGGAGAAATCCCCAAGATGTGTGGTTTCCCTCAGCTTGCTCCCAAAAAGGGTGCGTTTGGAATTCAAAAGACACCCGCAAGTTGGATGGAGAGAGAAGCCGCATGAAGCCGCTCACCAACCGGTGCGCCTCCTGACTCAACACCTGCTGCTCGCTAAGCAGCCCCACCGCCTGGCCAAGCGCGATGAACGCCGATTGCTGGCCACCAAATATCTGAGAAAGGGAGTTGTGTCCAAACTGAAGACACATCCTTTGCATCTTCCTTTCGATGCTGCCAAAACGACAGACGTACAAATGGCATGGCCTACCCATCTGGATTTCCTTGAAACTGCGGACTGCCGAAATGGGCTGGTTTCTTTTGGCTCCGTGTAAACTGCTCTCCTCCATGTTCTTTATCAAACAACCCTAAAGGGAGCCTCCAAAGAAGGACGCCCTCCACTTCGAACACCGAGGGCAAAAGCCAAATGCCTCGTCATTGAAGCGGTGCCAGCTGCCGTTGTGCTTGGCCTCTCAAAAGCCACTGGCTATCACTGCGGTCCAAGAAGTGAAGACAGCTTCCTGCCAAGAAGCATATGCCATGTAGTGGCCGCTCTTGGCAGATTGACCGCCTTATTCGCTGGCATATCCAGCACACAGGAACAAACGAACGCACGCAAGCCAGCCAGCCAAACCAACCAACCAAACAACTAACCGAACAAACAAACCAACCAACCAACCAACCAACAGACCAACCGACCAACCAACCGACCAACCGACCAAGCCAAGCCAAGCCAAGCCAACTCAAATCAAGCCAAACCAAACAACCAACCAAACAACCAAACAACCAACCAACCAACCAACCAACCAACCAACCAACCAACCAACCAACCAAACAAACAAACAAACCAACCAACCAACAAACACACAAAGGACACAAAGGACACGCAAATCACCTCCTAAAGCACGCACAAACACGGCCACCCACTGTAAGCATCCTGCAGTGAACCACGAGCCCCTGAAGGCTGTAACGTGCCTGCCACATCATCCAAATGCCGCAACAGCGAACGCAAGGCATGGCAATTCTCCCTCTGGCCATGGTCATGCCCTTAGGAGCCTTAAAGGGCCCATGACTATATTTGCGTTTTCTTGGTCGTCTCCATGGCTCCAAGGCTGGCCTCTCTCTTGGGATGGCTTGTGAAGCGAGAGATGTCCAAAGACCTGGGCCCCAGGGCATGGACCAACCGTCTCCGCGCTTGGACTGGGCCTCCCCTCTAAGTGCAGGGCAAAGGGTACTTCACGATCTTCTTGATTTTTCCTAAGCCATGGCCAAGTTCTGCTCGCCCAAGCACACGACCAAAGCAAGAGCCAGTACACCAGGCATGGGCAAGTTGCAACCCTGGCGTTTCCTGCCCAAGAAACTTGGCATGCTGGGCCTGCACCAGCAAAAGCATGAGAGGATTCTGAAGGGGAAGCTTGCACCAGCCTATGAGCCTTGCAGCCAAAGCTCCCCGATTGCCGTTGAGGAAGTCGAAGCGTTTCAGCTGAAAAATCAGCATCGGGGGGGTTGAGTGGATCGAAAACCTGCCGAATCATTTTGGCTCGACTGGCATGGCACATTTGACAAACCTGTCTCTACTGGCTAGGTTAAAAGCTAACACAAAGGATCTTGCGCAACCTGGAGAGGAGAACCACAGGCGCAGAGACTGCACATGGGACAGGTACAAATGCAGTGTGACTGCCTTTTGGTTGCATCCACCTTCTGCTGGCACTTCTTGCAAAGGTATTTGTTGGCACCCTTCAAGCTTTCGCCTCAGCTACACGTAAGTGGCACACACACACACACATACACCGATACAGATATAATATACATGTATGTATATATATATATATGTGTGTGTACGTATAAATATACATATATATATATATATAAATGTCAAACATGAACGCAGGCACGCGAATATTCATGCAAACACGGCCGCACACACACACACACACACACACACACACACACACACACACACATTGTGGCAGATGGGTCCGTTGACACTTCATGGTTTTGATCTTTGCCCACCCGCGCAAGTGCAGAGCCCACTGTACGCCCACACACACACAACACACACCCACACACCCACACACCCACACACCCACACCTCCACACGCACACACACACACACACACACACACACACACACACACACACACACACACACACACACACACACACACACACACACACACACACACACACACACACACACACACACACACACACACACACACACACACACACACACA